TATAGAATTTTTATCAAATTCCAGAAAACACAGGAAAATCATAGAAATCATAGAATCAGCCTGGTTTGGGTTGGAAGGGGGTTACAGCTCATGCAGTTTCACTCCCTGCCATGGGCAGGGACGCATTCCACTAGAACAGGTTGCTTGAAGTACCATTTTCCCTAACTGTGCAGAACTAGAGTAGACACTGAGTAACTGCTGTTTCTGCTGTGCATACAGTTAGTTATTGAATGAAAGATAACATCTAAATCATCTGCTTCTGCAAATCATTTTGCTTGGTATATTTGTTTTTTAGTGCAACCACGTTCCCTGTCACCTTAACAGAACCATGAAACAGCTGAAGCATTACGTTAATAATGATCAGATGAGAACATACTTTTCTCTGATGGAGAAAAACAAGGAGGCCATAATATCAGCTTTAAGTAAATCACATAAAGTAAGTTCTTTGTCTGTTATTTGTAGTAACTAAATAGGTAAAAATCTGATGTTATGAATGAATGACTTACTCATTTTCAAAACATGAAATTAAACAACTCAGCAGCCTGATCAGCTAAAGCCAGCAGCAAAATTATGATGCTGTTTCCATACGCTCTTCACTTTGCAATGGTTCTATAGAAAACCCTTCCCTGTATAGAGTCTGGATGGAAGTTACAGATTTCTAAAAGATGTGTCACCCTTCAACAAATCCAAACTTGTCATTAGCTAGGAGATGAATAAGAAAAGGCCCTAAGCCACATCTTGGTAAGCCGAGTCAGCCAGGAAGCGGTATTCCTACTACTGTGTTCATTCACAAAGATCTCTCATTCCTTCTGATTAAATATCACCTAGCTGTGGTTGAATAATACAGCCACAGCTCCACAGCAATATGCTCTTTTTAGTCTCTCCTTTATGAGCACTATTACCTGTTGATATTATTATTCTTCTAGAAACGGGAGAGGGACGGTCACTGTGCGATACAAGAGGTGACCCTGGACAAAGTCCTGCAGCGCTACAGGAAGTTCTTACAGAGGTTTCACGAGCACTGTTGAAGCCCTGCTGATGGGTGATGCCATCCCAGCAGGTCCAAGGTGCCTCTTACCCAACACTAGAGCCAGTTCTGCTGGATTCCTGCAAAGCTGCCACCGAGCACTGATGGCCCAATGTCAATGTGAATGTTTCATGTGTATCTCGTCAGCTATTTATGTCTCATTGCAGGTGTTAATGTATTTATTTAATTTATAGAGAGCTTTTATATTTGTACAGAGCTCGGATGTTCAAACTGACCATTAATAAAAGAACTTCAACTTATTCCAGCGTGGGTTTCGTGCACTATAATGATTAGAGTATATGGCAAGGCTTGGATAAAGCCATGTGAGTGAAAGGAAAAAGTACGGATTGGAAGGCAGGGCCCTTGCTCTGCTCTCCTGCAGATGTTTAGGGAATAGGCAGAATCTTCATTTTCTGAAGGTAGGAGAGAAAAAAAGAGAAAAAAGCTCTTTAAATATGAGCAGAATTGAGTTTGAAATCAGGGTGTTTTCCTGAAGTTCTGTGGCATAGCTGCAGCAGTACCTGCCTGAGGGGCATCATTTATTTACGTATATGATACCAAGATTAAATAGCTGAGACAAAAAGATGAAATATCTATTTATCATAATATTTGTGATCAAAGATTAAATACATTTATTTATTTAGAGCTTTTTGTTTAGAACTTCTGGTAAGAGCTCAGCTCAGTCTCCCCTTGGGCAGGTTCAAGCCATTCCCCTTGGCCTGTCCCTACAGGCCCTTGTCCCAAGCCCCTCTCCAAGTTTCCTGCAGCCCGTTTAGGCACTGGAGCTGCTCTAAGGTCTCCCCTTCAGGAGCCTTCTCTTCTCCAGGCTGACCCAGCCCAGCTCTCTCAGCCTGGGTAAACCACATTACAAATGTCTGTAATAATATGGTGTACCTATGGGTGGGGAGGATATTGCTGCCCCATGGCAAGCTAAGCCTCAGGAGGTGAGCAGACAAATGCTGCTGACGCCTGAGGAGAACACACTGGAGCAAGCTGCTCCATTGGAAGGGGTCCCTGCCCGTGGCAGGGGCTGGAGCTGGATGAGCTTTAAGGTCCCTTCCACCCAAACCATCCTATGATTCTCTGATTACCTGGCAGTGAGTCCATCCGTGCAGGGCAGAGCACTGGGAAATCAGTTTTCTTTCAGTTTTGCTCTTCTGGAAGCATTTTCCTTTCTGCATTAGCACAGGTTAGCAGAGTTTGGAGCGCCTGTAATTCTCATTTTATGCTATCAGCTCCCCAGGAGGACTAGTGCCATGCCTGTAAGACAATTTAGAGTCCTTGTGAGCATTTGGAAACACCCTGAGTGGGAGAAATTAGTTCTTGATGTGCTGCCAGTGCGGTGCATCATGTTTGCCATCTCGCCAACCAAGGGAAAAGTCATTTCAGAAGAGAAAGGAAAGGTGCTGTGTCAAACCAGAGTCATCAAGGCACGTGAATGAGGTTCTTAGGAGTGCTGGGAGGGAGGAAAAGGCTGCACATCTAAGGGCAGAGGAAGTTACAAGGAACAGAAACAAGGGCTGGTGGCTCCATCAAGTCACCTGCATGTCTCTGGGCACTGGGCTGGATCCAGCTCAGGGGGAAGCAAGCCCAGCAGTCCTGAGCAGCTCTGCTTTCCCAGGAGCAGAGGGAAGAGGAGGGGTTCCCACAAACCATGGTTGCAGCTTTTTATGTGGCCACATATGTGGCATCTGCTGCAGCTGAGATGCTGGTGCTCAGGTGGGACATTGCAGCCACTTCAGAGGTGCTCAGGAAACACTTATGGTTAAGGAGATGTAACATTTACTGCTGATGTTAACTGATGACATGGAGTTTCCATGTGTGAGCTTGCTTTAGTCAAAAGCTGCCCATTTATTAAGGATTAAAAACCAAGATATGACCTCCAAAGCCGCATGATCTGCTCATACATCTACCCTGCCCTTTCAGATAAGGGAGGAAAAGGACACGAACGTCACTCTGCCCTAGGAATGAATTCACCCCCTCCCATTTACCACCAAAACACCCACACACTGCTTCATGGGTGTCCCCTCAGCAACACCCATGGGCTGCACACCCTGGTCAGCAGCGCTGGGGCACCAGAGGATTCTCCTCGGACCCCCATCAGTCTCCCCTTTGACACGTTTTGGACCCCCTCTTGGTCCCTAGACCTCAGAACAGACAGGGAAAGGGGTTGGGATCACAGAGGGCTCCTCACCCTGCAGTACCCCAGTGTTACCTTCTCCCTGCAGCGTGGCTCTGGATGAGTCCTTCACCTCCCTTGGGACCTGCCCCAGCAGAGGGGCACGGGCAGCTCCGAGCTGTCTGCAGGGATAAGGCAGTGGGACATGAAGCCTGTCCCCTCATTTCCAGAAATGCCCATTTTCTTGCTCCTGGCTGCTGGAGAGGCACGAGCTACTGCACCACATCCATGCTGCACGTCGTACTCGCGCCGGTAAAGAGACCTTATCTGACCATCGGGACTTCATTCTTATCTAGATGAAGGAGCAAAACCAGCTGCTGCAAACAGTTGCAGCTTCCAGCTAATGATGCCAGCAGACAGATATGAAGGCAGCAGCAGCAAACGATAGCTCACTTGTTCCTATGGGCTACTGCAGGTCACCTCCTCTGGGCACCAGTGCTTTGAGCTGCTGTGGTTTATGCAGGGGCTTCATGGCACTGCGACAGCGGGGATCAATGCTGCACCGGGCAGGAAGCACTGAGCAGCTCCCACAGCTTCCCCAGTGCTGGCTGAGGTCCTGCAGCACTTCAGAACCAAGCTGTCCATGGAGGTCTGCAGTGATGGGGTCACACCTCAGCCTGGCTTGGCAGGTACAGCCCAGGGGCCAGCCAAAGGGAGAGGAGGCTTTGCTGAAGTCAGTATGAGTTTGTAGGAAACCAAAAGACACAAGCAGTAAAACACCAAACCCACAGTGGACTGAGATGGGAGCATAATAGTTTCAGCTGCATGGCTTGGAGCAAGCTGCTCTGGTGGAAGGTGTCCTTGCCCATGGCAGGGCTTGGAATTGGATGAGCTTTAAGGCCCCTTCCAACACAAACCATTCCATGACTCTATGATGATTCTGACTTACAAATTCAGCCTGAGGGTGCCAGGCAGGTTCTCTGCAGAGCTCCCAGCAATGCACTGGTGCAGAGTCAGTGTTCCTGCAAGCATACGATCCGTGCAGGTACCACATGATAGGAGACCTCTACAGATAAGCATGCAGTGTAAAACAAAACCCTATTCCTGTTAGCTATGACAAATGCATATGGTGAAGGAGGCAGCAATCAGCTTTCAGGTTAGCCTGAGCTAAGCCACACAAACACTTTTGACTGCCCTAATTCAAAGTACTGAGATATTGAGGAGCTTACTCATCACTGCTGCGGCACGAGGCTGCGGGACACTGAGCCATGCAGAGTGGAGCCAGTGGGTCCTCTTCTTCCCAGGAGAAATGGGTCTGGATTCCCTGCTGCCCTCACAGGAACACACCAGCAGAAAGCCAGGATAGCGCTTTTTGGTTGGTGACACTATCCTCCTTGAAAAGACATCAAAAAGGACTTCCTCCACCTTCCAGGAAGGGGGCAAACCTGAGTCACGGAGTTAGCTAATTTGGTCAGATAACATCGTAACACTCTGGATGAATTAAGATCTTAGATGTGACCCCTGTGAACTCGATGGGCTTCCCCCTTCATAGCGTAAAATCAACCCCCTGGCCCCTGCCGTGCCCACGGGATCCGGGCTGACACACTCAGCGCATCCTGCATCCCTCCTTCACACCCAAAAGGAGCCCCTTCACCATGCCCATCACCAGGGCCACCCTCCCACTCCAGCACATGCACCAGGGCACTGGGTTATCCTGCTGAAAATGAATTAATTCTTATGGAATACCTGCATTTTGACCACACTTTGACACAAGTGTTGCATGAACATCATATTCCCTTTCTAGGCAGTGGTCCACATGTTCTCCGTGGAGCACTTACGCCACAGCCTTTTTTCCTATTGCCTATCAGAAGATCAGATACTGTTATCAGAGAAACTCTGAGTTCTAGAGAAGCGCTGTGGAGATGACAAGTGCTTGGTCATGCTTGGGGTCGTTCTATATATTAGTGTTTGAAAATGGAAAGGCCACATCCTTATACGCTTAGTGCCTACTTCTGTGGAAACACTGATTGGGTAAGGAGCGTGCCCCAAGGTTAAACCCCAACTTTACTGGAACCTGTCTCTTCCAGAAAATCTCAACAAATGGCCTTTTCCCTATCAGCTTCAAAAATCAACCAAAACGGTTATTTCCCTGTAGAGAGAGACCATAAAATGGGAGAAGAGTGGTCCAGAGCCACTTCAGGGCTCTCTGAGCACATCACGATGAAGACCCATCTCTACCTTCTTCTGCTGGCTGCAAGCATCTCTGCTGCTCCCTACATGAGCAGCACGGCTGAATTACTGACGCTATTGCAGCAAATGAGAGAGTCAATGGCCAAGGAGAGTCAGGTATGTTCAATGTCCATGATTGTCATCTAAAATCTGACATTCTGAATCCTCCTGGTCTTGACTAGCTAACCTTTTTGAAAGTCTATTTATGTGACATTTTGTTTACACTCATGTAATGAAGATGATATTTAAAAGGCTTCATTAATATATTCTTTTTCAGAATCTGAGGATTGAAACTCCAGATGACATAAATGTAAGTAACCTCCCTTTTTTCTTTTAAAGAAAATTAGCTTTTTTCATAAATTTAGTTATTGGAAATGGAGAGAGCTTTAAAATTGCTACCTCTGTATTATACCTAAAATACTTTGTATTTAAGAGCAATGACTTTAAATGCATATGCAGACAGCATCGTGCCATGATATTCTCCACCAGTGCCGATGCTGTCTGTGTTTCCTCCCATCTTCACTGATCAGCTTTTCATCTTTCATCCCTTTGTTCTCCCATGACACCTCCTTCTGCTCCTGCCACTGACGGTGTCCTCTCCTTTTTGCCTTCTTCATGACTTTAACTGATCTCTTCCAAAGCAACCCCACGCTGTCAAGTGTGAGCATCATCACTCTTTCCTCTGCTTCTCTTCTGTACCCCTCATGCCCTTTTTGTCACCTTGGCCAGACCCTGAGGTCTCAGAGACAAATGCCAGCTACCACTTTAGGGAAGAAGACCAGGATTCCCAGGGCATGGGACAAGGCAAACAGGGCTGTGACATGAGAGTGTGGCCATTGTCCCCACCTCTCACAGCATGCAGTTGTTGCAGAGGCTGGAGTAGCTTCAGGTTGGGTTTTCTTTCTCTCCTGTTCAGACAGCTCCAGCTCCTGGGGCAGAAAGCATCTTGCATCCAAGCTGGACACGTAAACCACAGTTATCTGCTGACACTTGCACATCAAATGAGAAATCAAACTCAGCTTCTCTCAGATGGCTGCAGAGGAGCTAGGACAAAGTCTTTAGAGAATTACATGGTTCATGTGGGCATTACCCTCGCAGAACTATCATTTGCCATGTCTGCAGAGTAAATACATGTGCACATCAGGCAAGCCTGTTTGCCTCAGTCGCTTGCAAATACGAGTCCAAAAGTCAGTAACAATTTATTTGCCACCAGGCAGCTGCATGAAACTCGTGATGATTTCCAATAGACTTACTGTGGTCGATGGTTACCAACCCTTGTATCTCACTCAGCTTTGCTGTTTCTTCCATCTCAGGATGTGAACTGCATCAGCGTCATCTTTGAAGGAGCAGAACAGCTGAAAATGGATCCAGCCATGAAGAAGTTCAGTGGGTTTTTCCAGAAGTTTGAAAGGCTGAAGCAGTCACTCACACCAAGCCTGGGAAGAGAGGTAGGAACTTGCTTCTTGTCCCCTTCCCTTGTTCTAGTCCCCCTCTAAAATAAGGACTCCCATGGATGATCAGCACAGTTAAGGTTTAAAGAGAACCATATAATTTATAAAAGCATTTCAAGATGCAAAAGCTCCAGATCATGGTTAAATACTAAATGAAATCGTTTTCTTGGTTAACTTTTCAGGAGGAATGTGATACAGAAAGGAAGAGCGCAACAGCGTTCATGAGGGAGCTGATGACGTTCATCCGAAAAGCAGCATTAAGAAATGCAAGAGCATAGAATGACGGGTTTCTAGAATTGCTGTAGATTTAGACAAGCAGTCAGATGGTTATTTGGTTTAAAAGCACTCCTCCTTCGTGTTAAAATGAGGCAGAGCATGCCTTTGGTTTCAGTGGTGCTGTGCTGGTTGGTGTTTAGCGTGTAATCTCCAAAAGCATCGATGGCAAAGTGTCATTTGTATTTCTAGATGGAAATCTAAATGCTTGATAAAGCAGATTGTGCAGGGGGTATGGAAGGACCTAGGCACAAACCCTTCGGGTTTCTCATGAAGAGGTCACGTTCATCTCTGAACAGTCACAAGGCTAATGAATACAGATGATACCTTGGTGGATGCTTTGCACTCTGCCCAAAATCTTCCCCAAGCACTGGTTTCACTCTACCTGCAGTTCTGGTGGAGCAGTGGAAACCCAGCAGCTAAAGATCTGTGAGGATGGGAGTGCGTGCCACTTACTGAGAGAATTAATGGGTCTTCTAAAGCTGACAATAACTATAGGAGTGCTTAGAGAAATATGAATTTATTTTTATGGTGTTATTTAAATTATAGTAAATTTTATAGATATATATTTTTGAGAAAATATTTATTCTGTTTTTTTACTAATTTTAATAAAGTGAATAAATGTCTCTGCCTTTTCTTTTCTTCCCACGAATTTCTTCCAAGCTATTCCCACACTTAAGCAAATCTAGTTATTGTAAAATCTCTGATGGTCAAAGGAATGAGATCCTTGAGGTGAGAAGTGTCTTGCTGGAAGCTCATTCCAATGAGGCACAAACCATCAGGTGCACATCCCTGTGATGGAGCTGAGCTGGCACATTAACAGAGCTGTTGGGGGAGCCCCTGCTGGAACATGGGGCCATGGAGACCTAAGGGGCTGGTCATAGGAAAGCTTACTGCTTTCTCTCCCTCCTTTTCAACAGTTAAAATGGAAAGGGAGAGAATCCAAGTATCACAGTGTTCCCAGGCATCTGACTGCCTTTGTTCTGAATGCCTGGGCATGACATGTCCTGCTAAGGACCATTCCTAGCCCATTTTCAGATGCATCTCAGAGACCCTCACTGAAGCTTGAGAAACCCGTGCTACCAGAACACATATGCCGGAGTAAAACACTTTCTTACCACATGAGTACTGATTTCCCCAGTGATTTCAAGAGTTATCATCTAACTTTTATGAAGGAAAACTACAGTATTTCAGAGTCCAGCTCCGTAAGATGGGGGGCAAGGGGAGGGAGGGGTGGAATGGGCAGATGCTGGTGAAAAAAAGGGTTAATCAGCAAAATTATGTGTGCAGACCGCAAAAACCAAATAACCAAAGTTATTTGTGCAGACATTGATCTGTAAGACTTTTGGCTCTGCCCGCACCAGCCAGAGCATCCTCCCAAAGCGGAACGGGAGGAAGGCTGACAGCAGGTGGCAATAAGAGACCGGAGATACAAGATGCAAACCCCGAAACCCTCTCCCTGGCAGCTTCTCGGAAGTCAGCCTTTTCCTTCAGACAGGCTTTGAACTCCGAACTGGGCGAGCCTTTCGCCTCCGGTGTAACTGGAGCAGGAAGGAGTCATTGACTAGGAACAAGCAGCCATTAGCATGAGTATCACCGCTGGGTGCAATCACAGCGTGACAGCTAAGTACGGGCCCAGGAACACTTACTGTAAAGATCCCAGCTTAGTTTTCATGGGTTCAGTGCCTGCACTTCAGAAGGGCCCAAAGGTGGAGAATAGGCAAGGTCTGACCTGTGCCAGTGGGACAAGGTTATGGAGACCACCACAGGGATGGCAATGAGAAATGGGTGAGGAACAGAAACGGTTGTGTTAAACCTGCCTGCGGTGGAGAAAACACCCCCCTGTCCATCACCTCCATAAACCAAAGCAGGACCAGTTCAGTGCCACCAAAAACAAAGGAACTTTTCAATGTTAATGCTGCCTGGCAGTCACTGTGCCCCTGATACCCCTCAGCTACAAGCCCCTCAACACACGGGTTTGTCTTCCTGGGACCCTGCTCCAGCACCGGCTGATGGCTTCACGGTGATTCAAACGCTGATTTCACGTTGTGAAGCAGAGACGGCGGTTCACAGCCTGGTTTGGGTTGAAGGGACCTTAAAGCTCCTCCAGCTCCAACCCCTGCCATAGGCAGGGACCCCTTCCACTGGAGCAGCTTGCTCCAAGCCCCTGTGTCCAACCTGGCCTTGAGCACTGCCAGGGATGGGGCAGCCACAGCTTCTCTGGGCACCCTGTGCCGGTGCCCCCCCACTCTCACAGCCTGCGGCCGGGTTTGGGTTGTTTTGGGGTGGTTTCGGCTCTCCACGTGCCCCGGAGGGGATGGGGAGCTCCCCCTCGCGGCCGCGGCCGGAACTGCGGATTCCCGGAAGCGGCTCCAACCGCCCGCGCCGCTCCTTCTGCGGGGAACCGAAACCAGGCGGCGGGGGGTGAGGTGTGAGCGGAGCCCGGGAGGGCAGGGGGAAGGGAAGGGAAAATGGGGAAAACGCGGGGGAAAAAAAAAAAAGGAGGGAAAAAATAAAAGAATAAATAAAAACGTGAGGAAAAAAAGGAAAAAAAGGGTGTGGGAAGAAAAAATCTGGGAAAAATGGGCAGAAAAAGGGGAAAGAAATAAAAAAAAAGGTGAAGAAAAAGAGAAAAAGATTTTCCAGGCCCCAGGCTTGGCTGTTGCTGATTTAAGTTATTATTGTTATGAAGCCAGGCTGGTGGGCTCGCTTCTTATGGGCTGTGTGTGCACAGAGGTGGCTGCTACTGCACCAAGGTTAATGGCCAATAAATAACAATAAAGCCTAGGGAGTAAGACCGGGTTCGTTTGGCATCTGTTGCTTGCAGTACATCATTGGCACTATTGCTGTTACCATCGTATGAGGTACTGGGGACCCACCTGGTCCCCGACAGAGCCTGGAACAGCACAGCCAGAGCTCCCTTCCCTGTCTTGGTCGGTTGGTGGGACACGGAGCTGCCTTCCCAGCACATCCCACCTTTGCTGTCCCATCCCTCGGCTCCTAACGGTGCTACCGTGACAAGCCCAACAACGCTTTGCGGCCTCTGTAAGAGCTTCCTTTTTGGCAGCCCCTTTGCACGAGGGTGGGATGGAGCATTCCAAACAAAGCAGGGCTATTGATGCTCTTCCTGAGGTGGAGCAGAGGTGAAACACTCCCAGGTCCCCTTTTCCTGGAGAACTACAGTATTGCCCCCGAGGTCTCCCTGCCTCCATGCTCCCAGTACTCTGGTCTGCCGGAGCTGCCAGGTTGGCCTGGGAGGCAAGAGCAGGGTGTAGGCAGGAGCTACGTGCAGGCAGAAACACGCAGAAGCCTCAGTGACCTCCAGCCTGGGCAAGCTGGGGCTTGCTGGAGGCTCAGCACCACGCTCCCATGGGCAGCCCCTGTTCTTCCCCTGGGAATTGCAGCACCTTTTCCCATCAGTCCAGAATCCCACCCAGCAGGGAGCAGGACACAGGGCACAACCAGCCTTCCTGCAGGCTGCAGCTCCCTTCGGTTTAATGCCTGCTCTTCAGGTGGCTGGTTGGGCAAGTGCACTCACTGAGACCTTCAGAGGGGTGCTCTAAAGGCATATAAATATACAGCTAACTGTTAATACACAACTCACCTTTCCTGTACTGATGTGAGCCCCAGCTGCAGGGATGGGACTTCAGTGCTGGAAAATGAATGGAATCCTCATTCAACTTCACACAGGTCAGCTGCAGGGATGCCAGGATCCAGGGACACCATGGCCCCACTGGGAGGGGAGGAAGAGGAGGAGGACTATGATGTAACCACTGGCTCCCATGCCCCCCACCAGCCTCCAGGAATGACTGCTTCTCTCTGACCTTTAATAGGAGGCTCAGGCTGCTGCAGGGCTGCACCCTCATTAGGCAAACTCGCCACAGGTGCCTGCAGCTCCCAGGGTTTTCCTTGGCAAACACTCCAGGAAAGCTCCATGTCCTCCTGCGAGGCAGAGAGAGCAGTGAGGGGCTGGGGAATTCCGGGGATGCGAGTCGAGTTCTTAGGGTTTCCTTTCTCTGCCACCAAACCAAGCACAAAATCTCACTTGGGTTCAGTCTGAACCCGCACCGTGCCCTCCGTGGGGAGAGCTGCGCTGATGCGGGCTCCTGAGATGGGTCCTTCCAATTCCAGGAAGCTGTAAGCGGCCCATCCCAGGATATACTCATTGTAGCCTGTGGATCAGAGCGCTCGCTGCTATTACATCATGCCGCCTGGGCAGGCTTTCAACACTGCTGACATTATTTATTCCCCTGCATGTGCTTCATCCAAGCTTCCTTTTTCTAACAGAGGCATTTATAAGAAATGGAAAGAGCTCGCAGCAAGCCCTGCTGTGAACCCCATGCTCTCGGGGCCACGCACCCAGGGGACAGCCCCTCTGTGCTGTTTGCCAATGCAGGTTTTAAAGCTGACAGCTTCACCCCTGCTCCTCCACCGTCTGCTCTGCATTAACCCCTCTCCTGCTGCCTGCCCGGAGCTGACCTGGGCATGGTACCGTGGCTGTCCCTGAGCAGGGAGCCTTCAGGTGATGAAGGCTCTGGCATCACTGGCTGCGTTGGAGGCCCAGTTGGACAGAGCTTTGGGCAGCATGGTCCAGTGTTAAGGAGTACCCATGGCAGGGGCTGGAACTGCATGATGTTAAGATCCTTTCCACCCCAAACCATGATTCTGTAAGGCTCCACACCCACTCTGTGTGCTCCGTCTAGCAGCTCCTAAAGGAATTGTTTCCGAGTTGGACAGGGAAAAGGGAGGAAGGCAAGTGGGGGAAATGAGGGAGAATTTGCATCAGAGCAGGTTTCTGTTAAAACAAGTGGAAAGGAGGAACAGCCCCCGCAGAGGGGGTTTGAGAGGACAGCTGAGGGCTGGGGGCATGAGGACGCATGCTGCCATGCAGCGATGGGGGAAGCAGCCAGGGCCATGAGGAAGCAGATAAGAGGCTCTCTCTTGCCATGCTCCCACTCTTCCCCTCCACGAGCCCCTCCTGCATCCTGTGTTTCTTCGCTCCCTGCACCCAAATACCACCTGGGCATGCAGAGCTGGGCTCTGTTCCCTCCTGGGGCTCGCTGCCAGTCCCCAGAGCAGCTTCCTGTGACAATCCCTGTCCCCATCTCTCCATGTCTCCATCTTCCCATCCCCACCTCTCCCATTCTCCCAATTGCCAGAGCAGGGTTTCCCCACTAAAGAGCTTCTCCCTTGGCTGGATTCAGAGTCCTGGGAAGGGAGACTGCCATCAACACAAGGTGAAATACTCCAGGGCTTTCTCCTCGGGGCACCTTAAGGATTTAACACCCGAGGGACATCTGCCCCATCCATACCCCATGTATAGCACTGGGAGAGCACAGGGCCAGTGTGCTGGCTGCTGCATGGTGCCTGCACTAAACGAGGTGCTATGGGGTAGCCCTGTCCTGCTGCACACATGAGGGCTCCCGCAGCATCACCTGAGGAAAGGGCACCCTACCTCCTGCTGAGCTTGGAAGGGAGCCTGGCATGGGCAGTTATCAGAAAGCTGATGGACTTGTACACCAGTGCTCTGCTTACCTGGAGGTGAACGTGGCTCTGCAGTGTGCCCGACTCCGGGAGCTGTGTGCGTGCTGGAGTGTGCTCCTTTCCTCCCCTTCACCCCTCAGCATCTCAAAAGGTGTTTCTGGGTGGTCAGAGCCTGCTGGGTTTGGCTGGGGGCAAGCATGGGGGGGCCTCATCCCCACTGAAGGTAACCTCAGAAGGAAGGAAGAGCGGAGATAAGGCAGGAAAGATGCTTCTTTTGAGCTGCTGGAAAACCAACGTGCTCCGGGCAGGCTTGCACCAGGCTGGGTGCCCATGGGTGAGAAACCTGTGCCACTTATCCCTAAGGAAGAGGGAGCCAGGCTGTGCTCTGAAGATGGCAGGTTTGGTGCACAGTGCTGCTGGCTGGGTCCTGGCCATTCCACAGCACACGGGGTTCAACATTAACCACTGTGCATATAGGCCAGGAATGAAGTCATCCTGAGCTGCTTAACCAAGCAAAGAGGGGAACAAAGAACGACCTTAGAGCGCATACACCCAATTCATCACTCTCCTTTTAGGCTACTCCAGGAGCTCTGGGGTTGATGCCACATAGTTTGTGGGTTTTAGCATTACCTGAAATGCAGTCTTCTTGGGAGCAGCCTGTTTCAGGGCACTGCTGACCGAGACAGAGAGTGCCCATTATAGAATAACAAATACCACTTGCTGGAGTTGCATCAGTCAGGGATTTGAGTTGGTCTTAGATAAAAATACCATCAAATATTTCCTCTGCATTGGGAAAACAATCCCAGACATGGGATCGCCCTGGATTGGGTAAATGTGATGGAATAGTTTAGCAATCTGTTTGTGTCTCAGTTTACCACTGAAACAAGAGCACGGGCAAATATGAAAAAGGGGGAATGCCAGAGGTTGTTCGGAGCCAAAGGGCCAAGTGGGTGTCTGAGATAAGAGCGATGTGAAGTAGAGCTGGAGCGGGGCTGCAGCTCTGCAGCGAATCAGAGATATGGCAGTGCCAGGTTAACGGCTGGACTCGATGGTCATAAAGGTCTTTTTCAGCCTAAATGATTCTGTGTTGTACAGAAGTTCTTGCTGAGTGATAACTGGGGTGGAGCAGGAGGGTTTTATGACCAATCATTTATGACTCCTGGTGGTGCAGGTATTACCCCTCGGTCACACTTCTATACACGTACGTGTCAAGTCCAAGTGTGTGTTCTTGCTACGTTAAGCAAGCTGCTGTGTAGTGTTAGTGTAGGGGTGCACACGGGAGAAGGAGCTGGTTTTGTGAGGAGAAAGCTTTGTGATGCAGTGCAAGGACCTCCTGACACGCAGTAACATCAGGGGAGACAAGCTGTTATTTCCTTGTTGCAGCTGAGAGATAACAGTGCAGCAAACAAGCGTAAGGCATCCCAGCTTGGGCAGGTCGTGCTCCATGGAGGCTTGTCATGCGAATATGGGAGACAGCACAGATAGAAAGGTCAGTTCAGCTCCACTGAGTAGGATCTGTATGGGCTTAAAGCAGGGAAAGGGGAGAGTTAAGGCTGGGAGCGTTAACCTTCCTTCGTGCATTCCTGTTCCTGTTCTATTTGGTGCCCGGTGCCAGCTCCTGGTGGCACAGACTAAAAACAGCCAGTAAGGATCACAACAGCACCAAAGTCATGTATGAGACAAGTCACTCTTCACTATCCATTCGAGCATGTGAGATACACTGAGCGTGTGCACACGTTAACCTGGCGGAACAGGGAGCTCAGGATTTGGTTTTCCTAGAGCTGGCTGAGGGGTGAAAGGGAGGACAGCATGATCTTCATCATCAGTACCTAGGTTGTATAATGTGTGTAACGTTAGGTTGTATGGTGCTGTGGCTATTTTTGTAGGTGATACCTGCACTGGAACCTCAAATACCTTCTGTCCTCTCTTTTTCAGTGTACTTTCTATACCTGTAGATCTCCAGATGCCTTGTGCTAAGGAGTGAACCCGTGCCCTCTCACAGACCATAAACTATAAATGTCCCAGTGCCACACACCTTGTCTATGCACCACTGCCCAGCTTTGATTATTTACGTAATATGTTGTATCTTCACCTCTGAGGAAAGCTCACTGGTGCCTCACCCAGCACAAAGACCCAACCAAGGATCCTATCACAGGGTAAAAGAGTCAAGCAGAGAAAAACAAATCAGTTTAGGGAAGCAGGACACACCTACAGGGCATTCTTCTGCACTTAAACCCAGGTCTGGGCTTTTCCACTGGAGCAGCTTGCTCCAAGCCCCTGTGTCCAACCTGGCCTTGAGCACTGCCAGGGATGGGGCAGCCACAGCTTCTCTGGGCACCCTGTGCCAGTGCCTCAGCACCCTCACAGGGAAGAGCTTCTGCCTAAGAGCTCAGCTCAGTCTCCCCTCGGGCAGGTTCAAGCCATTCCCCTTGGCCTGTCCCTACAGGCCCTTGTCCCAAGCCCCTCCTGTCCAACTGTGGAGGCTTTCAAACCAATGACAGAGCAGCTTCAGGCAGGGTCCGTAGTACAGCTTCCCACTGGAACTGTGGTCTGCTGAGGCCAGGCAGGGAATGGTGTCATACACCGGTCCCCTGGCTTAGGTGCACCTTGATGTGAGCCTGGTGACTCCAGGGACCTGTTTCATTGAGCTGTGCACTTAATGAGCATGCAACACTGGAACGCAGCAGCGCATTCCTGTCCCTCTCCCTGCATCACTGGGCCAGCTTACGCTGATGCTGAATGGCTCATTTCATGCTGTCTGTTACATGCCAGGAGAGCATGAACGCAGAGGAGACAGTCTGGAGCATCCCTCACAATCTTCACATATTTTCCTTTGCTATTGCCCTTCCTATCTACAACCGTGACTGTTCCCATTACTCCAGGCCCTACCGCATCCCTTCTGCAGCTTGCTAACACCAAGTAACAAAACCTGTATGTGGTTTCTGCCCTCTGTTTTCATTACTCCTGTTGCAAATGGCAAAAGCGTGTCTCATGGAGCCGGTGCCAACCCAGAGTCCTGTGGTACTGTGCAAGGAGCTGGTCTGCTCAGAGCCATCACTGGGGCCAGTTCCTCAGCACTCCACAGCAAGTTGATCGGGAGATGGCTGGAGCAGCTCCCACCCAGCAACAGCCTCATCCAGACCTGGCATTTTATCCATTTCCTTTCCTAATCTATGAGGGCTGCTGTGGGCTGGTGGCAAGACTGCGGGTCTAGGCACTGGGACACAGTCTAGGCACTGGGACACAGTCTAGGCACTGGGATTTCTGTGCCATCTCCAGCTGCAGGGGATGCCCATGAAGAGCAGCCCCACACAGGGAGAATGGGCTGGGGCTGGATCTGTTGGGGAGATGGGGGTTGGATCCCGTGGGAGACTGCAGCTGGATCCCTCATTGGGGATGGGTATGTCAGGGACACAGGGGCTGGATTCCAGGGATGGGGGTTGCATATATTGGGAACACGGGGGTTGGATCCTTCAGTAGGGACCATCCCTGGAACACGGGCTGAATCCCTCCACTGGATGGGGTCTGGGTCTCTTGGTGGGGACAGGGGCCGGATCCCTGTGTGGGAGGGGGGCTGGATCCCTGCATAGGATGGGTCTGGGTCCCCTGGTGGTGACAGGACCGGATCCGGCGGTGGGGCCGGGGGCTGGACCCCTCCACAGGACAGGGGCTGTGTCCCTCGTTGTGCACCGGGGCTGGGTCCCGTGGGGACCTCGACCCCCGTCGGGACGGGGCTGTTGGGGGGGGGGCTCCCCCCGCGCCGCTGGTGCTACAACGGCGTGATTTCCCCGAAGTGATGCCAGGCAGCGGGAGCCAATGGGAGGCGCGGCCGCCCCTTGCGGCGGCGCTGATTGGCCGGGACGCGGCCGAGCCCGGGGCGGCGGGGAATCCCGGACAGCGCCGCGTTATACCCGAGGGCGCGCCCCGCAGGCGGCAGAGGCGGGCGGGCGGCGGGCGAGGAGGGACGGGCTGGGCTCGGCTCGGAGCAGCGCAGCACGGCACAGTACAGCACGGCCCAGTACAGCACGGCACAGTACGGCACGGCACGGCTCGGCTCGGCACGGCTCGGCTCGGCACGGCACGGCTCGGCTCGGCACGGCACGGCTCGGCTCGGCTCGGCTCGGCACGGCTCGGCTCGGCACGGCTCGGCTCGGCACGGCTCGGCTCGGCTCGCTTCACCTCACCTCACCTCTTGCACAGGCTTGCACGGCTCGGCACAACGAGGTGGGTCGCGGTGCTCCCCGTCCCGTCGCTCCCCCCCCTCCCCACTTTGCACGGCACCGGGGCTGAGGGAGAAGTCCGTGGGAGCGGCCCCGGGGACACGGCTCGGCGGGTCAGCGCCGGGCTCTGCCATGCGGGAGCTGTTTCGGGGCACTGGGCATCCCTCCGGGGAGCAGCGACTCCTCGCACAGCCCCACGGGACGCGGCGGGTTGGACGGGGCGGGATATGTGTCGTGTCCCCCCCCCCGCCTGCGGGGCCGGGCATGTCCGGGCGCTGCTGCGGCTTTGCGGGCTCAGCCGGAGGCTCCGCTCCGCTGTTGAGCGGGTGCCAGCGCCGCGGCCCGAGCCGCGCTCCCCGCGGGGCAGCTCCGGCAGGCTCCATCCCCGCCGGGCAGGCTGGAAGCGCGGTGTGCTGCGCTCCTTGGGAAGTTTTGCCCCGGGTGTCTTCAACAAACACCGCAAACAGGAAACTATTTCTGCAGGGGGAGGGGGGGCTCTGCCGCCCGCGCCGCTGGAGCGCAGTTCTCCGGGGGCTGTCGCCGTTACCACCGTGGAATCCCCTCTCAGCAGGGTCCCCCCTGCCTCCCCCGGGGCGCAGCTTAACTAAGAACAAGCTTTGTAAACTACGACCGTGCCGTTGGTGCCTGTCGGGGGACGCGGAGGGAGGGCCCGTTCCTGTCCGCGCACCCGCTGCCGGTGGGCTCCCCCCCGGGGCCGGGGCTCTCCCCATCCCGGGCTCCCCTCTTGCAGCACCCACCGCTCCAACCAATCCCGTTCCCGGTTTGGGGACATTGGGCGCGTTTCCGGTGCTCGACGGCGGGGTCAGCGCCCGGCCAGGGGTGCTGGGTACCGGGTACCGAGGAGGAGCCGAGACTCGAGAAGCAGCTTTGGTTCCATCCATGGCGGTACAAAGGGTACGGGGGTATGTGACACTGCAGAATGTCCCAAACGGCAGGGGGACTTGGCTGACCTGTTACTCCTTCCTCAGGCAAGATGCCGGTGTCAAGAATGCGCATGAGGCCCTGGCTGGAAATGCAGATTAATTCCAATAAAATACCAGGACTGATATGGATTAACAAGGTGAGGGTGGTTTATTACTATTATCAGTATTAAGTCTGTGTCATTAGCCATCCTTGTTCTTAGATGATGCTGAACAGGAGTCAAGATCATAAAGGAGAGAAAAACATGGAGAAAATTTGCATTATGTTTAAAAACAAACTACCTTTGTTTGCAGAAAACGCAGCTCTGGTTGGTACCCGCGTTGGTAGCTCCATTTTTCCTGGGAAAACTCCTAGGAAGGAAAGGATAAATTACAATAAAAGCAGGTTGAATATGGTGCAGAAGCAAGAAAGCTCCAAGATCTCTTGTCGCACCTCCTGCCCCAGCTCAGGGTGACTCCCAGGCTTAAGATTTGGCCTGAAGGAAATGCTGTTTGTTTTGGTCCAAAGCTACATCCCTGTACCTGTAGCACAGGGCTTATGGAGCCAGGTCTCATTCTCTGCACTCTCCATATCCATCCCAAGGTGATCTCTAAGCTGGGACATATTTTCCTCAGGATTCCTGCAGGATATTATGGGCAACTTTAAAAAGGGGTTTTCTACTGAAGTATACACAGACAATATACTGTAGCTCATGACATACTAATAGATTAGGTGCAATATAAGTGAATTTTGGATGTATTTAAATGATTACGCAATAAAGTTAACAGTATTGCTTACTTCTACTGTACCACACAAGGGGTTTTCCCCAGTTTTAGAAGCCATTAAAAGCCTTGAATTCCTTGAACAGCACTGATGGAAGGATGGATATTTAATTAAGATACAGAGCAGAGAGTTTATAAAATTTCTGAGCTTCTACTGGGTTTAAGTTAAATTGGGTTAAATCCATTGCTCCAAACTAGCCCTTGACACTTTTTCTTTCAATTCTCTACGGGTTTCCCTTCAGGACAAGATGATGTTTCAAATCCCATGGAAACATGCAGCTAAGCATGGCTGGGACATGGAGAAGGACGCCTGCCTCTTCCGGAGCTGGGCCATTCATACAGGTGTGTGCTGGCTTTACATGTCCCTCAGTCACATCCATATCTCAAGGCATTGTTTTTGTCTTGAGTTGCACCTCAGGTAGTTATAATTTATAATTACTATTGTGTGGGTCAGAAAATAGAGGAGTAGCACTGCGAAGTCCAAACACTCCCCCCATCTCTTATTTACAGGAAGATACAAGGTAGGTGAAAAAGACCCTGATCCAAAAACCTGGAAGGCAAATTTCCGCTGCGCTATGAATTCACTGCCTGACATCGAAGAAGTGAAGGATAAAAGCATCAACAAAGGCTCCAGTGCTGTCAGGGTCTACAGGATGCTGCCACCCTTGACAAAGGATCAGAAGAAAGGTAAGTCCTCAGCAATCCAGCTGCTGTTGGAACCACTGGTGTTTGGCACTGGTTATTGCCAATGGTAACAGGTCATAGAATCCTAGAGCACCAGGTTGGAAGGGACCTCAAGGATCATCTGGTCCCACCTTTCTTGACAAAGCCTGGCCTAGACAAGATGTCCCAGCACCCTGCCCAGCTGAATCTTAACAGGGCCCAGTGTTGGGGATTTCACCACTTCCCTGAGGAGATTATTCCAGTGGCTGATTGTTCTCACTGTGAAGTTTTCCTCTTGTGTCCAGTTTATACAGACATTTTCTCCCAGATTCTTTGAACAAGCCTAAAGGCATCATCAGAGGTGATCAGGACTCGCTGCTGACAGCAGCAGCAGAGCTTGCTAAGCAGGGCTTAAAGGTGCAAGAGCTCAGCCCTCGCCCAAAATACCAGCCCTTTCTCACGTTCATCTTGTTTTTACTTAACAGAAAGGAAGTCAAAGTCTTCACGAGAAGCCAGAAACAGGAGCAAGAGAAAGGTATGTGTCTGGGGAGGCTGCTGAAGAAGCTAGAGGTTTTGGTGGTTTTCATGCTTTTTTTTCGTTCATATAGGAACTTGCACGTTCTTAGGCAAGTTTGTCATGGCTCTGCCCTTGTTTCTGCAGTCCCCTGAAGATACGAGGATGGAGGAGTCAGCAGAAAGGCTAACCAACGCTGCTCCAGCAGATGACCACAGCGGCTACACTGTCCACAACTACATGGGGCAGGAAGTGGAGGTTGAGAGCACGTCCATCACCTTAGGTGAGACTCGGCTTTAACTCTCTGAGCAGAGTGGGAAGTGCCGTTCGTGCGTAACCCATAATCTCTGCACCAAAAGACAAAGATGACTCCTGGGGCTGGGCCATCAGATGGGCAGGGAGGAAATAGAGGTGGTCGTGTCTCTGCTGAGTGCCAACTCCTCCTGGTGCATCCCGCAGACATCTCCCCATGTGAGGTGAGCAGCTCCCTGACCGACTGGAGGTCACAGATGGAGGCCACCATGGCTGACAGCACCAATGACATCTACCAGCTCCAGGTGTCTCCCCTGGCTTCATCCTCAGAAGGTAGGTGCTTCTTTTATCCTTACCCCTGTCTTTGACTGGTCTACTGGAGACGGATTTGGGAGCAAGGCAGCAGAATGAAGGAGTAGGCATCAGGAGAAACAAGAGTTGGGTACAGTAGTAACAGTAGAGGTAACCATGCTTCCCCATAGGGAAAACCATAATAGATACAGATGTACCAGGGTGGTTCTTCACTCAGGGTGCAAATCATCTTCCCTGCTGTCTACCAAGCAGGTTCTGCTTTGGCGAGTCTTGGGTTGTTGAAGAGCATTTGAGATGAAGGGCTGTGGGGATGGAGGTGCTGATGGGCCACTGCACCTCAAACCCACCTCAAACCTCCTCAATGTTATCCCTGGGGAGGGGGGAAGTAAAAGGTTGTGGTGATGTGTGACAAGAGAATATGAAGTGGGTTGTGTGGTGAAGAAGCAGAAGTGCAAGGGATAACATGCGAAAAGTTGACATCTCTCTCTGTTTTCTTCTCTTTTTTTATGCACTTACAAAACAGTCACAGACGAAGATGAAGAGGAAATGAACTCGGATATTTTTAAGGTAAAACCTGCCTGTCTGGTCTGAATAAAATTGGCCAAAATTGTTGTTTGCACCAAGGGAGGAAGGGAAGGAGCTATCTGATCAGTCCTAAGAGAGCTGGACATGTAATCCAGGACCCTTGTTTAATGGGGGAGCCTGAAAAAGGAAATACAAAGAGAAGGCTGCTTTGCAGACATGGAGAGGATGCATCCATGGGGCTATTTACTCGGATGTGAAAGGCAGAGGAAGCTCTGCTGGAAGTAGAGGTTGCTGTATTAGAGTCTGCAGAAGTCCTCACGACTTTATCTTGCTCTTCCCTCCACCTCTGACACACATGGAGCTTAATCTGTGTTTCCAGATGTGTCACGTTCATCCCACTGATAACATGGGGGGTTCATCACTGGTTTGCATTAGCTTTTTTTTTTAGGCTGGGAGTAAACCAAATTTCATATAACTTAGCACAAGGACATACCATGGGATCTCTTTTGCTGACCTGTCTCCTACTTAAGGGAAAGAAATAGAGCATTGCACCCATGGGAAGAAGTGGGTTTTACCATCTCCTTCCTCTCTTACAGCTGTTCGAACCAGCCCAAGACTGGCACACCACCAGCGTTGGGGGGAAAGGCTTCCTCACCAACGAGCTGGGCACACAGACCATGTGCAACACTTACAGCTACAAGGAGCAGGATGCGGAGATCGACACAACTTCAGGTACAGACTCCTCCGTTATCACCCAAGGGCAAGGCCAGGGGATGATGCAGAGCACGGGTTTCGTGCAGGGAGGGAGCAATGCGGATGGAGGAGTCCACACATCCCTGTGCTGTGAGGTTTCCAAGGAGCCTCTTGGAAGGCTGTAAGGAATTTGTTGGTAAAAAGAGAAACTACCTCTAGTAGGAGTATCCTACAGGTTATATGTAGGTTGTGTCAGCTTTCAGGAGCTCCTTGCAATGTAACTGAAGTATTTACACTTAGCTGAAATGGGACAGTTCAGTAGAGAGTGTTTGGAGCATTGTAGCAAAACATCAGCCTAAGGTATTTACTCACATTAGAGCAACCTTTCCATTTTAGATACATTTCTGTATACACACACACAGAGTTTTGCTCTTGCTGCATGCGAGTCAGTACTCACCTGTGTTTGGTTTCCTCTAGGAGAGCTGGAGTTCAGGTTCTTTGACTCGAAAAACAGCCTCGAGTTGCTGTCTCCCTGGCTGGAGACAGCGAGAGCTCCCATGCAAGTCATTCCCTGTGGCTTGTAAAGCCCTGGCTTCCTCCGACCACAAACTGTTCTTGGGTAGAAACTTGGACAAGCCTGAAGAGAATGGAAGAAATTGTTTGTTACTGACTGAAGAAAGTAGCTTTTCTATTCCGTTTTAACTTTTAGGCCTGAAAAGGTTAGCAAGGGAAACTCCATTATCGATTAGAAAGGGGAAAGGAACCCCATCACTAGCAGGACTCCTGGCTCCGAAGATGCTCAGTAGCAGTATGCACCTTGTCATTGCTTTGGAGGTGAAGCTTCTGATGGATGTGACCTGGTGGGGTACCACTGAGTGTGCTGGAGGTCTTGGGGGGAGACACTGCCTCCCTGTGCGAGATGCGATGGACACTTTACCCACGGAGTACTTAGGAGACACGCTGCAAATGAGACTCTGACCCGTTAGTTTTGGTTGCTGCTTACCTGTGCAACACTGGTGACATTGGGCTTAAAGACTGTCATACACTTAGTCAGGAAAATTGCACTAATTGGCTCTCTTCTTTGATTTACTCCATCACATAGTTCATCTTTCAGCTGCGTAAATAAGATGTGAAAACCCAGTTTAGGCTTTGCTTCCACATAGTACACTTACCCCGGTCCACTCATAGGATGTTATCTGCTCATAGGCATGCCATATGTACTTCCACATAGTAGTTGAAGAGCTGCTGCATGACAACTTTTGCACTGATAGGGGCAGAGCTCTTTATTTATTCCATGTCTTCCTGGGATCCCTTCTAGCGGCAGCACCTGCAGCCCCTGCAGCAGCACGAGCAGGGGAGCGTGGCTGGGGGGGGTTCCAGTGTGTGTGTGTTATACCTAGGAATCAAATCACTAAGCTGTAATGGTCTATTTTCTTGTACATTTTATTTTTGTACATAAAGTGCTGTATATTTGTTTTAATAAAGAGGTTTTATATACGGTATGTTTACTTTTTCTCATGGGAGAGCTCCAAGAATGAATTCCAGATTCCTTAAAAAATACCCAAACAGCCATGCTGTCGCAGGGGGTTTTTCATGAGTCATGGAAGCACATGGAATTCGCTGGTTTGATCCCATTCCCAGCTCCCCCCTCATCCCAGTGCAGCTGATGGGTGGAATCCTGCTTGTCCTGGGTCCTGTACACGTGTGGGGTGGTTGATTTTGATCTGCCAACATCTGCAGCTCAGAGCTGGGTGGTGGGGTCTGCTGTTAAACAAACCTAAACACCAGGTCCCTGCTGTGGATGTCCTCATCAGTGACGCCATCATCCTCTATGATAAGATCAGCAGCAAAGACCTTGATTAAATAAGTCACGTTTGCCTAAAAAGAAAGCACATGCACAACACAAGGCAAGGGGAAAAGCAGCTGGTTTTCCCCTGCATATTTCACTCATTTGCCATACTTCCAGGCTGGAAAGGCTTGACATGATATTGCATCATTTGGGGTGGGAGGCAAGAGCCCGGCACATCAACTGCAGCCACCAGCATCTGCTACTGCCTGGAAAACCCCTGTGCTGAACAAAGCTGTGCTGGCCTCTGGGGAATAGCTTCATTCACTGAGCAACAGTGGGCTGAGGAGAACACCAGGCTGCAGGAGAGGAAGATCCAGCCCAAAGGGCTGGGATGAGCACAGGCTCTGCTGTGACTCAGCCTGCAGGCACACAGGGCCAGATGTGGGGTTTACCCAGGGAAGAAGGGGAAGAAACACATGCCATGGGATGCAGGTGGTGGTGGGTCTCAAACCCAGCACACCAAGGTGGATGGGCAGCGCGGGCAGGGAGCGGCTGGGCAGGGCTGTGCAGCACCAGTTAGTCATTAACCGGCCGTGTCTGAGACAACCCAAAGCAGGCAGCAGCAGCCAGACAGCAGCCTCCTATGGCCTCATCCCAGCTCTGCAGGGCCATGGCTTGGAGGGTGATGACCCGGCTGCCCCTGCACCACAGTGCCTGGCTCAAAGGTCCACCTCCTGGGGAGGGATCCATCCACCCAGGAACCCCCTGGGTACCAGGGCTGCTGCCTTGGGTCACCAACATCAAACCCTGCCCAGCACAGGTCTAGGGCAGGCAAAGAAGTGATCCAAGAGATCAGACCCGTGCCACAGCCGGGGAGAGCACATGGGGGCTGCTGGACCTGGAGCCACCCCTGTGCCCCCAGGAAGGGACATCACCTGGGGGGCATCCACACAACCACAGGAAGTGGGTTTTGTCTAGAAACCACTGCAAGTTTGTTACACACAGGGGGAGGTGTGGGAGAGAGAAGGGAAACTTCTATGATGCGAGCCGTGCTAAAAATAAGGTAGAGATTAATTTGCCCATTCATGCATCGAAAGGAGCAAGGTTTTCAGTCATGCTCAGATGCAGAAACCCAGCCCTTCAGTTTTCACAGGTTAAAGGTTTGACCAACATCTGAGGACAGAAGAAAACAGCGCCAGTGCCTCACACTGAGCCCACAGACACACTGCAAGGACACAGGAGATGCTTCCCTCATGCCAAGGTACCTGTGCGACCAACAGCACATGAGGTATTTCGCCAGTGATGGGGTGGAATTGATCCATCTGGTTGCTTCACTGCCTGGGTAACTGCCAAACTCAAAGTGTTTCACTGTTGGCTTTGCTGGTTTGAACTCTGGGAGGGGAACAAAAAGCGGAGTCGTGCTCTGCAGCTCAGGAGGGGTAGGACATGCTCAGACTTGGAGGCTTCGGTGCCATCGATGCCTGGCTGGCTCCTCCATCACCTCCAGGTGATTTGTAGAACCCACATTTCGTCACCCAGTGCACACTAAGGAGACCTTTAGGCTGCTTGCACCCAGAGGAGCATCATGAGGGCTTCAGGATAACCTCCTGCACAGGCTAGGGGATGAAAACAGGTTTCAAACCTTGACAATGGATTCTCCTGAACTTGCCTATCCTAACCAAGCTCTTCATAAAGCCAGCAAACCTCAGCTGGCTTTCCTGTTCTCACCTTTACTGTGCACACAGCTACATTCAGCTGGGAAGCAACCCCATACCAGGAGAGCAGGTCACTGGAGACAGCTCATCCCTGCCAAACCCAGACAAAGCAATAAAATAAAGCTTTTATAGTAGGGCTTTAAGAGCAAGCAGCTCTTTCCTGTGCTATGAACCTTGCATGACGGTGAGAAAGATCTACAGGCAATGCAGCTGCTGTAAAAAATAAAGAGAGCTCATATTTCTGTGCTGGAAAACCAAGAGGAGGCCTTGTATAATCAGGGGTCATTTAGGAAATGAATGGGGTTAATGCTGCAGGCTCCAAAGGCTGCTTGAGCAGAAGCTCTGCACCACTTACACCACACTTCCACCATCACTGGTTGCAGTTTACTTGCAAACCTTTAAAGTGTTTGAAACCATCCCAAATTCTCCTTGTTTTGTTTCAGAGCTTTAGGACATCAACAGGACAAAACCTCCTGAAAATAACACAACCACCTCAGAAACAGCCCCACAGCCTGAACCTGGGAAAGCCCTTCAGTGGCTCAGGCACTGACTTGGCTGCTGCAGCATCCTGCATCAAACCCAGCTTGGACACAGGGGCTTGGAACAAGCTGCTCCAGTGGAAAGGGCCCTTGCCCATGGCAGGGGTTGGAGCTGGAGGAGCTTTAAGGTCCCTTCAACCCAAAACTTTCTGTGATTCTATGGAGGTGGAAGAAGACCTTGGTTCCTGCCAATAGGGTTTTCAGTGCTGCAGGGGGAAGGATATCACTCATCTGTTAATTGCAGCTTTTCCTAGTGAAAACTCTTGACCTATAAGTAAAGAGTTGTTGCTTTCCCCCTGATCTTTGTCCAAATGGATTGTTAAAATGCCCTTCCATAATTAGAGGGAAACACAACTTCCTACACTGTCCACTTAGCTCATTGCTCATCATTTAATCATTAGTAGCCATCTCTGAGCACTTCCTAAAGGAGTCTTTAGCTCCTGGCTGCCTGGAGTGATGGCACCTTGCATGAGTTTTCTTGCCAGCAGCAGAGCCTGCAATTACGGCTTTGCCTTTATTTGCTGAGGTGATGGAATCCTGATAACGGGACGCATTTCCAGGCAGTCACAGGGCTTACTGTATCACACCTGTAAAGGGGAGCAGGCTTCAGACCAAAGGTATGAATTTATAACTGCAGAAAGCAGTGGGACGTTTGTTTGTGGTGCAAAGGCAAACTGCTGCTTAGATTGCCACCGAGTGTCTTGGGCTGCAAACATCATTTCTCTGCTGTTGTGCTGGGTCATTCCTCCTCTTCCAGTTCCCCAAGGGTCCATTTTCCCCTGTTCATATTTGTACACACAGTACAAGGAGGACAAAGTTCTGCAGGGCAGAAACCTCTCCCTAGGGAATGCCAAGGGGAGAAACACTGTGTAGAAAAGTCAGGTTTAGAGCTCAGATGGGGAAAAAAGCTTCCCTAGACAGAGGCATAGGGAAGTAACTCCCATTTTAATGTACAGTTTCCAAGTGTGTTTTCTGCTATACCAAGTCTTTCAGACCACTTCCTGCAGTGCTGCACTTCAGAGCTCCTTTTCCTCCCACATTCTTCCCCTTCACTTTTTGTCTCCTGTTAAACTCACCCTGTCCCTCCCCATCCTTCCCATGTGCAAAAGAAACAAGGCAATAATAAAAGCACGTTTGAGCAGGCAGCACAACACGTGTAGCTCAAGCTGCTTGCACACTATGTCATTCCCCTCTAACCTTTGGTCTTCCCTGTTCTGCTCACGTCAGGATGCAGATCAGAGCGGCTCCCTGCCACATCAGGCTGTGTGTGGCCAAATCACAGACAGCACGACAGGAGTGACAAGGAGGATGGGGTACCCAGGGGGACCTATAGCCACGGGTGTAGAAGACAGCGAAGAGCGCAGATCTCATCTCAGTCACCATAAACCCAGTGGGGAGGAGAAGGCTGAGCTGGTGGCACATCCACTTGCTGGCAGCTCTCCCTTGGAAAGCAGCACCAGCTCCTGGTCCAGAACAGCAGCAGTGCGCATTGCTCACCCAGCACGGGCATCCCGAACGATGACGTGACTGCCTGCATGGAGGATGCTTGGCTATCGCAGATGAACTCATCGTCTATTTGGGGATAGGAAATTTCACACTTCAAACGAGCGCCTGCCTGTTGCGCATCGCTCCCCCTGCACGGTGAGACCCGTTCCGCTGCAGGCGCGTGGCCGCAGCACCAAGCACAGAGACGCTGGGGCAAGCGGAGATGCTGCTGCAGCAACTTCTGGGGATCTTCCAGGGGAATTCAGCCTCAGCGGCTCCGCACGAGCGCCTGAGCAGAAGTGGCTGCCCCTGGCAAAGGGAAGGACTTCGATTGCGTGCGGCAGTGGTTAAAAATACAACAGCAAGGGAGCGGCTAAGGGGCAGGTTTCACTGGGAGGAGGGTGGGTAAAGGAGCTCTGGGCAACTGGAAAGTAGTGGAGGTCTTGTTCCTTTCAAAGCATGCAGTGGTACAGCAGTGATAGCACAGGGAATGAAGGATGCAAAACAGCATAAGGATGCTGGCCTGAATTCTGAATGAACCCAGCACAAGCATTACACGTTAGCTATTTGCAAGCAGGGCTATTAAATAACAAGACCCAGACTAACCACAGGCACTGACACTGAACCTGCCCAGTTCTGAGATCTGCATTACAAGAAAATATTTCACTGAGTTTGTTCTGTCATGAGCTAAAACCAATAAACATTTCACCAACAGTCTTTGGGCAGAGGAAATCTGTTGTGGAGCCAAGTCCAGACAGGCAGGACTTTGTTTTCACCAGCATCACTGCTGAAGAAAGCAGAGGGAGCAGGGAGTGAAGCGTGGACTATGCTGGCTTGATCCCAGGCTTGTGGCTGGTTTTTAGGCTATTATTAAAGAACTGGAGGGAGATAGCATAGATAACCTGGGGCATCGGTTAAATGCATCAAGTGAACCATGTTAGCACATACACGCTGCACACAAATAATAACTGAGA